ACGGAAAAGCTTTTGTTGCTAACTGCAATATATATTGGTGGGCTTATTAGCAAGCATGTGCTTATTGAAATGATTGATTGATAGATATGGTAATTCATACAGCACTACATTTCAATTCAGATAAACTGTACTATATATATACAATATACATTGGATGATTCACATGTAACTTCTCAATTTGAACAAGGGTCTATTATTGATTTTGATTTTTCTAAAGTTATATTTTAAAACTGGACACAATTAAATTTTCAACAATTTGTAACAAATATCTACAACTGTTATATGAATACTCATTTTACAACCTTGACTTGTATTTCGCAATTTTAAGAAGATATAAATTTGATTAGCCAAGGAACAACCAAGTTATTACCCCGGTAATCTGATTTGAAAATTTGAAGCTTTTCTGTCTTTAAACCTGATCTATAGAAATTACGACACAGGCACAGAAGTACATACACTGTACATACCAGGTAAAGACTATTATATTAGTTAAACAAACAGTGAAGTACTTTGGGTTTGTCAAGGTAGTGGGTGGGTACATAGATTATCAGTGGTCTGAAAGTACAAGCCCGGCTCACAGTGTACAATAAAGCTTGTTGTGAATTGGTTTACACTGGCCTGGGTTTTTTCTATAGCCACCAAGTCTGCCAGGTATTCTTGTACTTGATCTTTGAATAACCGTTATGAAATAAATTGTAGAGTTGCGACAATGAAACACAACGGGACAAATATGGGTAAACATTCACTATTTATATATATGCTGCATTCGTTTTTAAAGTGGGGATCGAGAGGGAGCTCAAGGGTCGTAGTAAAAGTTAACAACTGCAGCCTCACTTTGATTTGCTATGATAAATCCACTGTGAATCCATGGCCCATCCATCAGTTACATATATGCACTAATGGACATATAAACATATGCACGCATGCTTAAGGCCAGACAAAAAATAATTTGTTTTTCCTGTAACATGTTGGAAAAATTTAGGGTAGGTAGATATAGGTAGTTATCAAGTTTACTTTTAGAAATAAATTTATGTGATTGATATAGGAGAGTGGTCTAGACTTTAACATTGCTTCTTTGAAAATTGCCTCAAGTTTAGGGTAGGCACAAAGTATTAAGGTAGGTAAGGTTACCAGAAACACCAGAAAGTTTGGCCTTATACTTCCATGTTTTTGCAACTGTTTGACTTAAGTTTGATTTTGGTCAGATATGCAACCATATATAGCTGGAGTTTCATAAAACCATCGGGTAATTAAAAATACATCGGCTGTTTGAAACTTAATATTTATGACATTTTTTCTCTACCCGTCGCCTAGGAATGAGCCACTAATATAATACCTGGATTAATCTAATTCCAGCAGGTAATTACAAATATAAATTGATGTTAGATTGCGAGATATACATAATCCATTATTAAACACAGCTACAAAAATGTAAACAACTTACCAGGTACCAATCATGTAGTAACTAGTTAGTATACACATGTCCAGCTGTGTTTGCATGTTAACTAATTTATATAAATTAAAGCTCATTGACAAGGCTGCAGCAGGGTAACACATAACATTATTCTTACATACCTAGTCCTACCCAGTAAAATCACCCCAACACAGTGACAGTGCTAGGGTTTTGTTACCTAAATTTTACAACTGACTGTTCCTTTATGAATTAGGAAAAAAAAGCATTACATGTATTTGTATTGAATTTGGAAATATATTCTTCAGTTTGTGGTCATTTTGGGAAAATAAGGCAGTTTTTTTATCTAGGGAAAACAGCCTGTATTCGGCAGTAAAACTGAGCAAAAAAATCACTGTGGGATCCCTAGCAATTTATTTGCGTGTTATTGAAGAAAAAACAACATTTTAAATGTAACCCTATGCAAATAGTTTTAAAACAAAGTTGCTTTTTTTTAATTATTATATTTTGTTGTGAATTTAAAATTTTGACTAACCCAACAAATTCCTTATGCAGTGTGTAATGTCTCCATCACCAGGGACTTCAATTTGAATAGAAAAAACACAGCCCACATAAACTGTTAAATTACGTAATGAAAAATTGCTAATTGCACAAGTATAGATTATCTGATAGTTTTGTTCGTATATAATGATGTACATCATATAGGAACTTGAGCAAGTCTAACAAGGAACGGGTTCTGTAAACATGTCCTAAATATATATATATACTGCTGATGTTCTTTATTATAATTAATATTGGGACTTCTGCAAGTCTGACAGGTTATTTACATGTATACAAATTCCCTGGACCATGCACTGACAATGACTTTGTCCAACGAGAATAGTACGTACCTGTGATCACCGACTTAGACCTAATCTGATTCCATGCTGTTATCTATGACATAAAACTAGTTATCTTTCCAATTTAAGTTTAATATCACAGGATATTCAAGTCACCTTCGTGGCTGATGTCTGCCTCATGTAATTATTTCAGTGTCTCATCAACAGCGTCCAACGACTTTTGGATGTAATTGTAGGTGATTTTTTTGCTCAGTTTTACTGCCGAATACAGACTGTTTTCCCTAGCTTAAAAGTGCCTTATTTTCCCAAAATGACCAGAAACTGAATATATATTTCCTATTTCAATACAAATAATGCTGTATTTTCCCCATTCATACAGGAACAGGCTGTCTGATAGCTCCAGATCTTTGCAGTCATGTCTGAGGATCACTGCAGTGATGTTTGATCATGGTTTCTAGACACACCTCTAAATCTCTGTACTTCGACAGAGAGCAGAGCATTCTCTACAATTCTACATACATTTCTTCTGTCATCGCAGGATCAAAATCTTGGGAGTTTTATAAATTGTTACCCTCCTTGAATTGAGAACAAATAAAGGCATCTAAAATCCACTTTTTGAAAGAATTTCTTAATGCCCTTTTGTTTTAAAGCATCTTCTAGGAAAATTATGCATAAAATTGTGTTCTGTTAGGATAACCAGGGACGTATAGTGAAGGGGATTAGCAACTCCCTCTTTGCTTTACCAATTTTATGACACGTCAATCTAGACTTACCTCCCCCTGATTCAGGAGCAGATAGCGAGCGCCACCTATCTCAATTTTGACAAACCAAGATGGCGTCGATACCGCTTCGTTAGATTACAGAAGTTGGCGTGAAAACAAACCAATCGTGAGAAGTGTTCTTACGTCTTTTGTTTATCCCATTGTTATAAACTGATTGTATTACTTATAATTGATAAAATCTGTGGTATCATATTAATTGATGTCTCGTTTTTGGGGTATATTTTTCTATTTTTAAACGCGTGGTTCAGAGTATTGTGGTGGGCGTCGATAGACAAAAATGCGGGATAAAAAAAAACTGCATGTATGTGAACCACCTCACTCCAAAAGTATTTGACCGATCTTTTTTAAATTAGCAGCAATAGAAAGCAGAATATTTTTGATAATGTCCCAACCTATTTTAAATGCAAATAATATAATTTAACTTGTGTTATTTTTGTGTCAAAAAGAGTAAATATCAGCATTATTTTTCACTGGAACGTAAATCATTATTGCGAAAGTAGTTGGTGACTGCTCACTGTTTTGATTAAATTTTATAAACTATCGTTTATATTTTTTAAAACAATTAATATCAATAAACAGCTGAGTAATTTCTATGTTAAGTAGGCCTGATTTGATTTGCATTACTTGGAACTATAGCGATGTCACAGATGAAATTACTTGTCTGGTAACAAAGGACACGTGTTGGTTAAAAACCGTAAACAAAAATGCGGGATAAAAACCCCCACATATTTGTGAACCACCTCACTCCAAAAATATTTGACTGATCTTTTTTAAATTAGCAGCAATAGAAAGCTGAATAATTTTTATAACGACCCAACCCATTTTAATTGCAAATAATATAATTTAACTTGTGTTATTTTTGTGTCAAAAGTGTAAATATCAGCATTATTTTTCACTGGAACGTAAATCATTATTGCGAAAGTAGTTGGTGACTGCTCACTGTTTTGATTAATTTTATAAATTATCGTATTTTTTTTTAAAAACAATTAATATCAATAAACAGCTGAGTAATTTCTATGTTAAGTAGGCCTGATTTGATTTGCATTATTTGGAACGATAGCGATGTCACAGATGAAAATACTCATCTGGTAACGAAGGACACGTGTTGTTAAAAAACGTAAACAACCGGAAATGTTAAACCCAACAAAAAAGTATCGCCTGCATTCGGGGATCAGCTCATTTCAAAAATACTTCATTTTGAAATTTACAGCGATAGAAAGTTGAATAATTTTTTGATATGTAGTACTAATTTTTATGGCAAAAAATAACAAATAACTTGTGCTGTGTTTGTGTCAAAAAGTGTCAATATTAGCATTATTTTCACTGGAACGTGCTTTACGAAATGTGATTTGTTGTAATAGCCACCAACACAGCCGAAAGGCTAGACATAGTGGCAACGATAGCCCTATCCCTGGAATAAAATGAGGACCTACTAATACACAGTCCCAATCAGGGCTAACCGTTATCAAAACACTTCCATCTCGGCGAGATTTTAACGCTAGTGCGCAAGCGCGGGCTGATCGAGAGGGGCTCTCGATGACTTGGCGGTTCGGTGAACAAACACAAAAGCGACGTGCTATAGAATCTTGACTGGGGCAGAGTTGCCAATCCCCTCTATATACTATCCCTGGGATAACCATACATTTTTTTTCATACTGCTAATTTTAGGATATTCCCATCTAATTGCGAAGAGGAATGTAAAAATCTCAATGGTGCAAGATTTATTTACATCATTAAAAAGCTGCAAGTGTATCCATTGCAATACTGAAGTGTCCTGAACAATATGGGATAAACATAAACCATTTTGCGTTCTAACCTGTGGGCTGATTTTGCAATACAACTTCGCACAGTAAACATAAAGTTTATGATAGACTTTCATGCAAGTGTACAGTTGCATATTAAGCTGAAAATGTTTTTATGTAGGACAAATATATACATGTATTTTTTACACAACATGGGTGCATTTACCTGATTCCTGTAAATATCGATATACAAGAAAGTTAATTTCATCACTGCTGAAGCTCATGGCTATATTAAACAGTAGCTAAATTGAGGAAACATCCGTTCTGTGTCATCTGACCCTCCGTAACATTCCTCTGGAAAGACACCACCTGAATAAAGTAAAACATTTGTCAACATCAGATTCGAATTCACTGTTGTATTTTTAAAGAACAGTAAAATCTGTTTATCTCACTTCCATTTCAGCAATCAGATATTCAATAAATCATTTTCTGTTATGTACTTGGCGGTACCCGCGTGTATTGTCAATTATTTGAAACGACCTATAACCAGGCCATTGGCACAAATGTGAAATGCCCTATACGTGTGATGCAAGTTTTCTGAAACAATCTATAAGCATACTTTACACAGATAAATCCTAATTTTTCATCAACAGATCGATGTCTCTTCCATGTCTTAGACAAATTTGTTTCTTTTAAATGTATGTTGATGGCAGATCACATCATCCAGTGTCATATAAATTGATAATGAACCGTGAAAACGAAAGTACAATAGGTAATGCAGCAAAAACAATGCATGTATAGTTTTCTTACGAATTTGAATGTATTTAAATAGACAGTTCCACAAATATCAACTTAAACATATAAATATACGAATTGGCTGATATACTCACTTTTAGTGTGACGTATTAAACATGTAGCACTATAATAAACGTACGAGATGGTTTATAGAAACAGACTTTAACTCCCAGGCTAATATTCACTATACACCTGAATTATAATCACGCGTACTCCGTTTGTAGTCAAAATTATCAGTGAAATTTATAATATATAGTCACCAAATAATTGAGTTATATGTTAGTGTAGCAAACCGCACAATAATTCCCAGATTAACATGAGAAATATACATCTGTAATCCAACGAGTCGTCAGTCCATCAACTATGCCGACAATGGCGGAAGAAGTCTGTCGCACTACTTTCTGATCAGCGGAAGTTTAAAAAATTTAATCAGGCACATATGATTATTAGAAATTGTACACTTAAATATTTTGTTATAGTTATCTATCCTTAATAATTGTTTCATAATCTTCATGTATTGGTAAACAAAAATGTGTATACAGTAATAGTTAATCACTGCGGAGCGATATATGAAAAAAAGTTCAGGTGCGTATTTACCGCTCACATGTCGTGACGTCAGCCGCTAAAAAAACTGAAGATGAACTCGCCTATGCTATGGGAAAACAGGGTGTGGCACAGATACATACATTAACAGGTTGATATAATCATCCATTCAGAACGGTTTGTTTCCCCTGATTTCACGTGGGATTTAACGTATTTACTTTATTTAAGACAAAACGCACCTGTTTTAACCCATCTACTCTCTTCTTACAATAACCTGACTGTGACATTTTATTGGGATACACATCGTATAATAACCTCAATATTGGAATAACCCTGATGTATACAAAAGCAAATGTGAAGGTCGTTCCCTGACACTATTAATATCCCTCAGTAGCGTCCTAGTTTTTTTTCTATTTTGCAACCTAATGCGGTTACCACTACAAGTAGCTGTGAATGGAAGACGCCAATACCGTAACAAAACTATCAATTTTTAACTAATCACCACAAGCTCCGTATCTGAACCTTGCAGTGTTTATGGATATGGACAGACATTAATTCGTAGATGTACATGCAGCATGATTTGTCAACTTACAACTTGTCAATTTGTAGGCTCTGATACAATGTATGTAGACTTGCTCAAGTCTGTTATAATTCTAATTTGCGATTTTTTTTCTTACTGCAATCTTCTTTTGTACATGGACAAACCTTGGGAATAGCTGTGTACACATTCTACACATTTTTTTTCAGAATAAAATTATGAAATGTCTTAGTATTAGAAATACAAATTTGTAGATAAATTTGCTGTTTTCTGCGGCTCTCTAGTGTTTTGGAATTTTTCTCAACATTATTATTGAGCTTCTCCTGAGAACCATACATTTTCCATGCGCTATCCAAATTGTTATGTTTACCCAGATTGGTACACTGTAAGCAAATGATTCAAATCGTACATGAAAATTACATTTGTGCATTTTTCCTTTTGTTTTCCCCACCAAATAGTGTTGTATTCAATCATTTTAAGAGTGCATGATGACTTTGAAGTAAGCATGTCAGAAAATAAGTCAGACGTGTCAGAAAAACCAGAATAAGGGACGCATGAAGGATTTTGGAAAGGGTAATTATAAGCATGTTTAAATGCAACGGTCCATATAATCGAAAATTAAATATGTTTTAATATGAAAAAAAAAGTTGCAACCTGCAAACTAATAAATCGAAATAACATTTTCATAGCCTTTGGTAAGTTATACCTTTTCGTCGTTCTAATAGAAACGGAATAAAACTAGAAATTTTGCCCGCCCTCATTTGGAGCCCTTTACCTCACTTTTGGATAAAAAAATATCTCAAGATAAAAATGTCACGTTCACCCAATTATCTTTTTATTCGTAATGACAATGACAATTGTTTTATTTTCATAAACAATACAGTATTGTAAATTAATTATGTCATTAATATCGGTAATAGATTTAGTCAATGAATTCAATTCATGTTGTGTTACATAATTGAATAATGTATGATATTAAAATGTGTTTGGGGTTTCATAATAATATCTGGACATATATGTTTTCTCCTACTAATGAGAGTTGGTTGATGTGTACACCTATTTCTATTAAATAACATTAACTACATAATCTATTTTCACGTGGTATATTGAACCACCTACCACTTTCTATTGGTAACTTAGTATTTCATGTTCTTAATTTACAATACGCTTTGGCTAGTTTCGGAGGGAGTTCTAGCAGTTCTAACTTTCCTCTATGTCTCTAGACCTCTCAACTCGGTCTCCCTAACTTAACCTTCTTTATTCAACTCTCCAACTCTACTCTCTAACTCAACTCTCCAACTCCACTCTTTCTTTTTCTCCCAAACTTAAGCAACCTTATTATCTGTCCCTTTAGCAAAATCCTGCTACATTAAAAATGTTGTTAAGTTGGCAAAATCCTGCTAAATTTGACTCCACGGTCAGCATCAGCCTTGATGCTAGAAGCACAAACACTATGTCACAGACTGGACTTCCCCCGACCTAGACTACGGACAGTCACACTGATCTACAGATCTTAAACTATATCACAAGCACAATTATCTACGGCTACTTAGCTACTATCTTCAAATACAACTCTTGACACTGACCACGAACCAATGCTAATAAAATGCATAGAAAACCATCTGTACACTTTGAACAATTAAACGGCTAATAAATGCATACCAATAATGTCTCTATCCTGGCACGTAAATATTAAACAAAGAAATGCTTATAAATTGTCATTGTCATTGTAAAAAAAAATACAACATCAATAAAGAGTAACCTGACACGTACAGTTTGTCAAAAAGAGGTTAAAGAAGTAATAGTAATTTGACGGCTGATATGGGCCAGCGTAAATTCCTCCTCTAGCTGGTCGTTTATATTAGACAGATCTTTACAGTCACGTGATTTCATAAAATCTTCTAAATCATTAAGAAAAAGTGAAAATTAAAATGGGGAAAGATTATCGCCTTCCGGACCCCAGAACTACATGGGAATACATTCGGGAATACGCCATCTTTCATCACTCTAGCCTTAATGTCATTGTACATATTTGTAATAATTCGGAAACATTTTCCATCTATATTATAAACCAAAAGTTTTTTCCAAATGCCTATTCTCCAAACACTGTCAAAAGCCTTTTCAAAATCTATAAAGGCACAATGTAATTGTTTTTTAAAATATTTTGATAGTTCAATTAATGCATGAAGTGAAAATATATGGTCAATAGTGGAGTGATTTCTTCGAAACCCTGCTTGATTTTCGAGGATGAGTTCTACATTATCTGCATATTTATTTAATCGTTCATTAATTACAGCTATACAAAAATTAGCTAAACAACTAACCAAAGTAATTGGACGATAGTTAGTGGCATCATACAAACTACCATTGTTCTTAAAAACAGGGATGATGTTTCCCAGGAGCCAAGTCTCAGGCACGTGACCAGTGTTAAAAATATAATTGAATAATTCAACATATAATGGCATCGTTAAATCAATGGTTGACTTCATATATTCGTTACATAGCATGTCGTTACCAACAGCCTTATTATTCTTTAACATTTTAACACATTTCATTATTTCGTTCGGCAGTATTGGCTCATTTATAAAAGCATTAGTTTCCAGTTTTGACAGCTCAGTAAACTCATCAATAGAAAACACATGATTATCCTCGCCTGCAAAATATTTGTTAAAACATGAATTAAAACAGTTCACAAATATCATTAATGATAGAGTTGATAAAATTACCACTATCGTCAACATTTGTGTGATTACGTAATTCTTCAACAAGATTATTGATACAATGGCGTTGTTCAGTTATAAAATCTACAAAAACACATTTAAAGTCATCATTCCACTTTCTGGGTTTACTTGTATTATAAGTAACCCCAGTATTCAAATTATCAAATGATATAAAAGTCGATAGACCGTAAAACAGTGTAAAAACAGAAATCAATCGATCTGACCTGAGACAAACAGTGTTGGTATATACGTTCTTGGGAAAGGGGTGTCATATTTTATACAAACAAAGACTGTGGCCCAACCAAAAAGGGGTGAGATTTGTGGCATTACAGGGAGAATTAGGGTATTTTGTCCTTATAAAGTCTTTGTTTCGTAAAGGGTTTGATATATTTAAACCAACTTTGAATTTAAAAATTACGAGAATAACGGAATGGTTTTGTGTAAGACACGGAGGTTATATGTACCGAAAGGGACAGATTAAGGGGCCCAAATGAGTCATGTTGCGTGCTTAAATCTTTAAAAGAATACTCATAAAGAACAATGCTGTTTAAACTTCGTAGTATGGCCCACTGAAGGATCCATGTTCAACGGCACTTCCGTTTCCCCCTATATACAGTAACAGCACCTTAGCCTCCGTTTAGATATAACTGTAGCACATGTGGTTTCGTACACTTTCGTTGTACAGGTAGCTCAGTCGGTTTCAGCGATGGTTTACCAATTAAAAGTCTGGGGTTCAAATTCCGGTCTGGCCCTGCAGAATATTTTACTCTCAGGAAACGCTTGTTGATTATATATTTTTGCATTTCATCACCATTATGTTTTCATACAAGGACCGCACTTCTCTTTTCAAAAAATGATTTATCAGAGCTGTAGTCATGCTGGAAAAATAAGGTTCGAGTGCATAGTTTCATTATTTGGCTGCGATACGGGGATCCTTACGACCCTTGTGCAAATCTGAGCACAAATACATTTAACCAGCTTTGTTTATCCTACAGGCGCACTACCCACTTTTTATTTGAACCTCGTGACCTTGATAATGGTCCAGAGTCAAGGTGGTAGGTCCTCCTGTGGGATTAGTCCCCAAGGCTTGCCGTAACCTTTGAGTCCCATTTGAGTATTTGCATGGTTCATACTATACACACGTTTATCTAATACTCCCTTTTCCTGTTTTCTAACAATAACACCATGCAGAAGAATAACCAATTTTAAAGACTTTTGGTAATTCTGATCATAATAAATCTAAATATGAATTTTGATTAATATCCATTTAAGTTTTCAAGAGGACATTTCTGTGGCTTTCTGCGCCTGAAAAACCTGTGCAGCTTCGGAGAAAGAAAAGAAGAGATGTAGCCCTCTGGATATTGTAAGAGGGGGCTAAATCTGCAGAATTTGTTTTTTTTCCTTTCTGTCTTCTGTTCAGGGAACACTGCAGGAGACATTGATATGCTACCCCCACTGTAAAACCTATATTTATGTATTTTTCTTTTCTCTCTTCCCTACTTTTTTCGGTGGTATCTCCCTAGATACCCGTCTTCGTATGACTCTGGCAATTTCGATGGCGTTCAACTTCATATAAACATATAACAATCACATATGCCCAATGCAGT